CAGCAGCTCCAGTTCCCCCAGCAGCTCCAGCACCTCCAGCGCCAGCTCCTCCAGGACCAGCTCCACTAGCAGCAGCACCCCTAGAACCGGCACCTCCAGTCCCAGGGTCTCCAGCCTCAGTGTCTCCAGCAGCAGCACCCTCAGGCTCAGCACCTCCAGCCCCAGCAGCTTCAGTAACTCCATTAGGAGCACCTCCGGGACCAGCACCACTCCCAGCTCCCGTGACGTCAGCAGAAGTACCTCCAGTGGCAGAGCCCCGAGCTCCAGAAGCGCGACCCTGACGGCGTCCGTACCAGTCGTGCAGCTGCTGTGAGGTGAGAGGCACATGCGGACGAAGGCGGCTACTCCAAGGAGACCGCGCAACAGTAGACTCAGAACCCTCAGTGCCAGCACCTGCAGCAATCCAGAACCTCCAGCGCCAGCACCCGCAGCAGCTCCAGAACCTCCAGTGCCAGCACCCTCAGCAGCTCCAGAACCTCCAGCAGAAACAACTCCAGTAGCAGAGTCACCAGCTCCAGCAGCGCGACCCTTACGGCCAACGTACCACTCACGCAGCTGCTGTGGGGAGAGAGGGAGTCGACGACGAGAGTGCAGCGGTGAGGCACCAGCGAAGCGACTACGAAGACGGCCACTCCAAGGAGACTCCTCACCAGACCCCTCAGCGCCCCCAGGTGCAGCACCCCCACACTCAGAACCCCCAGGCTCAGCACCCCCAAACTCCTCACACTCAGGCTCAGCACCTCCAGGTTCTGCACCCCCAGGCTCCACACCCCCATGCTCAGTACCCCCAGGCTCCGCACCCCCAGGCTCAGCACCCCCAGGCTCAGCACCCCCACAAGCAGCACCCCGAGCAGGACCACCCTCAGCAGGACCTGAGTCACAAGTGACCTCAGCCGGCGCAGTCAAGGGAGGAGGGTCTACCTGAGACACACCTGAAGGAGCAGGACCGGGAGCGGGGAGGGGGGCTACCTGGGGAGCACTGGGAGCAAGGAAGAGCGGCGAGGGGGGGGGGGGAGAGGGGCAGTGCAGTAGGGGAAGAGACGGTAAAAGGGAACCGACTCGTCGAACGTGACTTCCTAAGAGGGGAAGACACGGCGAGAGGTGGGGTGGTAAAACTGCCAACCAGGCACGTCAAGGACAAAGCCAAGGAAGACACAGGGAACAGCGCGAGCAGAGAGCTTGTCTGCGGTGGTATCGCGGACAAAGGCACGAGAACCCCAGACCCGGAACACCGACGCATCGCCAACCTCCCCCGTCCACCGCAGTGTGGGCGAGGTTTCCGGCAAGGAGACTCGGGGCCAGAAGTTGAGCTGATGCGCGGCGTAGCGGACCGCAAACGACCACAGAAAATGGGGGGCAGCCACATGGACCATGGAGGTACGAACAACCTCCATGACCAAGCCAATGCGGCGCTCAGCAACCCCATTCTGCTGCGTAGAGGCCGGAAGCGTGAACGTCTGGCGAATGCCCTCCCCACGACAAAAGCTCTGCAGAAGGTCGGAGAAAAACTCCCCACCTCTATCAGAGTGCAAATGCAGGACATGAAACTCCGTCCCGAACCGCTCGCGGAGCTGGAGATGGGCAGCGCTGATCCAAGGGATCAAAACAGCAAGGACCTCACCCTTGGTGCGCAAGGGGAAGACCGTGGTGTAACGCGAGTAGTCGCCAACAACCAGTAGGAAGTAGCACTCGCGGGCTAGGCTCCACACGTCCATGTGCAGGGTCTACAGGGGAGCAGTCGTCGGGGGAAACGAGGAGGAGTGAGGAGTGGCGCGCTGCCGCCCCTCGACACATGGAGGACAGGGAGGAGCAGGCGAGGGTGGGAGGGGAGGTAGAATCCTGGGAAGACCAGAGACAAGGACACGGCGGTGCATGCTACGAAGGCGCTGCACCGAGGGGTGACCAAGACGGTGGTGCCAAAGGAGGGTCTCGTGCGACAAAGCACGACACGAGCAGGGGGCCACTAGCTGACCTGACACAGACGCAGATGCAGCGACCTGAGGGGACACAGTAGTCAGTGTGTACAGACTCGAGCCAGGCACATGGGTAAACGTGGCCAGGTGCCGGCCCGTCCGGGAGCACGTACATTGGGTCACGCGCTGACCTCCAGGAGTGAACTGGTCAACCCACTGGTCCTGGAGGTCAGCACCACTCACCAAGTTCGTAGAGAACAAGGGGAGGTGAAGACCTGACAGGGAGCCATACGGGACCGCTGGACACGGCAGGACCGTGGAGGAGTGCGCAAGGACTGGACCCCCAGAGGGGTCTGCCAGGGAGACTGCAACTGGCCGACTGAGCGGCGTGAGGGTGGTGCTATTGCAAAAGAAGGAGCAGGAAGCACCTGGGTCAAGTGTGAAGGTGTATAAGGCCTCAGAAGGCGCAGTACCAGAGAGAGCAGACTCACCAGCACCTGGAGCAGCTGCCTCACCTGCACCTAGAGCAGGAGACGCACTAGCACCTAGAGCAGCAGCCTCCCCAGCACCTAGATCAGCAGGCTCTATACCTGGGTCAGGCGGTACGCACAGGTAACAGGCATGGTCAGCACTAGTAGGCAATGCATGCATGGCAATGAGAATAGCATCATAGTCAAGAGCAAAGATATCTACCCTCTGTCCATGTAGCTCCTGCCAGGTGGGGAGCTCAGCCTCGTCGCCAAACTCGGTACGCCAGGCATCGCTCAGACGGGCGAAGCATCGGGACTGTGTGTGACCAAGCGTCCCGCAAGCCTGACCAGCCCGAGCACCTGTGCGAATGACGTACGGGCAGCGAACGGTACTCAAAGACCCTCTACTCTGAGCGTATCACTCACGAAGCTTCTGGGGCATAAGTTTCTTGCGCGGACGCCGCTGCAGCTGCAGCTGGCCACTGCCAGACGCTCCCGACTGACCAGCTCCAGGGCGACAGCCACGACGGCTACCGCCACAACCCCAACTAGCGTACCACTCACGAAGCTGCTAGGGTGAGAGACTTGCGCAAACGTCGCTGGAGCCGCATCTGGCCACCGCCAGTAGCAGCAGTAGCAGTAGTAGCAGCAGCAGCGCAGGCAGGGCAGGCGCGGCAGGCAGGCAGGCAGGCAGAGGGCGCGGCAGCGCGCGAACAAGGCAGGTGCTCACCAGTGGCGGGAAGGGCATGCGCTCGCCGGGCGAGTAGGGCCAGCGCTCGGCGTGCGGCGGCAGGGTAGGCGCACGATGGCGGCGACGGCGGGGCCGCAACAGCGGCTGCAGAGTAGGGCCGCGGCAGCTGCAGGGCGGGGCCGCGTCAGCGGCAGGTCAAGGCCGCGTCAGCTGCAGGGCGGGGCCGCGTCAGCGGCAGGTCGGGGCCGCAACAGCATCCTGGCGGGGCTGCAACAGCGTCCTGGCGGGGCCGCGTCGGTGGCAGGGCGGGGCCCCGACCTGGCGGGGCTGCTTCGGCGGCATGGTGGGGCCGCGATAGCGGCAGGGCGGCGCCGCATCAGTGGCCTGGCGGGGCCGCGTCGGCGGCAGGGCGCGGCCGCGTCAGAGGCAGGGCGGGGCCGCGTTGGCGACAGGGCGCGGCCGCGGCAGAGGCAGGGCGGGGCCGCGTCGGCGGCAGGGCGCGGCCGCGGCAGAGGCAGGGCGGGGCCGCGTCAGCGGCAGGGCGGGCCGCGACAGCGACCTCGCGGGGCCGCGTCGGCGGCAGGGCGCGGCCGCGTCAGAGGCAGGGCGGGGCCGCGTCAGCGGCAGGGCGGGCCGCGACAGCGACCTGGCAGGGCCGCGACAGCGACCTGGCAGGGCCGCGACAGCGACCTGGCGGGGCCACGTTGGCGGCAAGGCGGGGCCGCGTCGGCGGCAGGGCGGGGCCGCGACTGCGGCAGGGCGGGACCGCGTCAGCGGCAGGGCGGGGCCGCGTCAGCGACCTGGCGAGGCGGCGCTCTGGCCTGACGGGCCTGCAGGGGCGGCTCGCGGGCCTGGCGGGCCTGCAGGGGCAGCTCGCGGGCCTGACGGGCCTGCAGGTGCGGCGCGTGGGCCTTACGAGCCTGCAAGGGCAGCGCGCGGGCCTTACGGGTCTGCAGGGGCGGCGCGCGGGCCTTACGGGCCTGCAGGGGCGGCGCGCTGGCCTAGGGCATCAGGAGGCAGCGCGGGGGCTGCAGGACGGCGCGCGCAGCGCAGCACGTCACAAGGCAAGGCAGGACAACACGTGGGGTAGCGCGGTAACTGCAACGGTATGGTGGGCCCGAAAAAAAAAAAACGGTCCTACGGACCTAGTGCTATGATACCATGTTAGAATCTAGCAGCAGGAATGAATGAACTATGAAAGAGTTGGGTACAAATATGAAACCCTAAAAGGGGCTGTACCCAATATTGGCTACCCCACTACAGCCTAAACATATATAGCAGATATATCATTTGACAGGGGGTGTAGGTGGCGCAGGCGGCTATGGTGGCTCGTGTGGATCTGGTGGGACACGGCTGTACCAAACGTCAGTGCTAATTCGAAACGTGGGCCTAGATTTCTTCTTGAAAAGAAAGTGGGTGCCAGTGAATTCCGCCTTGGCTTCTGCGGCCAGGCTGGAGAGAAAGGAAACTGATCAGAAGGTGCAAGAACGAGAGAAGAAATTAACATCGAAGGGGACCCCTTCGGGTTGGCGGCTCGGGATCCTCATGAATGATTGACGGGGAAACTCCCGCCTAAACCCATAAAGGAGCATGCGTGGTACGCTATGCGCTGCGCTGGTCGTGAACATTTCACCTTTTTCTAGAACGTTTCATGCATGATCCCACATGTGACATGAACGTTTCACGGTTGTATCCGCCTTATTTAAGGCTTCAATTTGGTACATTTAGAAACATTTTTCATATTTTTCACTTACAGGCGCATGCACTTGTACCCTAAACTCAATCAAAAGCGGAATCCTTCAAAAAAATAATCAATTTTATTATAAGCGCACCTGAGCTACTACCCGGGGGCAACTGGTACCACTATTACGGTATCTTTACCAAGTATAGGAGTGGTACGTAGGCTTTTGTTTAGTACTACGCATATCACACAGGGTAAACTATCCGTGTGATCCCTTTATCTAGGTGCAGACGGCAGAGAGACAGCGGCCTGTCCAGGCTTTCAGCGCTCTCACACGGCACACGCCGGCCCTCCTGTGCGCCATGAGCGGCACCCGTGGGTGGCAGCAGTGTGAGTGTGACGTGGGGGACGTGCTCGAACATGAGCATCACATGCACCTCCCTGCGCGCCGTACCCCCCCATGCCACCTCCAACACCCGCCTGCCCCCGCTCCCACCGCCCGCCCCGCCTTGCTGCTGCTCGCCTCCCCCCTCTTGCTGCTCTCTCCTCAAGTGCAGCACACCCACTTCAAGCCCCTCCAGAGCACCGTCGCCCATCCCCAGCAGCCTCCTCGCTCTTCTCATTCTCACATCTCCCTCGTCCTTGCCCTCCCCTCCTGCCCCAGCCCCTCCCCCCTCGTCCTCCTGCGCTGCATCCATCTGAGGAAGATCCTCCACCACCTCACCCTCGCCCCTCGCCACATCACCATCACCCCCTCCCTGCAGCCCCGCACCCCCGTCTGCCTCCACCTCTCCCTCCCCACTCCCCTCCCCACCCACACCCCTACCACTCTCGTCTGCCAAGCTGCCACTTGCACCTCCTGCGCTGCTCATCTTCACATGACCGGCGCCGGCGCCGCTGCCGCTGCTGGCGGACTCGGCAGAGTGGCCCGGCAGTCCGTGAGAGGCAGGGGTGACGGTGCCCTCATAGTGGTGCGACACACGCAGCAGCGCACACAGCTCTGTGCTGCCGGCCCCGCCCGGCCACAGCTGGATGGTGCGATGGCTGATGGGGGGATACGGGGCAGGCGGGAGCAGGGACAAGGATGTATGGCATGACGCATGGAGGGACAAGGATGTATGGCATGACGCATGGAGGGACAAGGATGTATGGCATGACGCATGGAGGGACAAGGATGTATGGCATGGCGCATGGAGGGACAAGGATGTATGGCATGACGCATGGAGGGACAAGGATGTATGGCATGGCGCATGGAGGGACAAGGATGTATGGCATGGCGCATGGAGGGACAAGGATGTATGGCATGGCGCATGGAGGTGGCCATGCAACACACAACACACCATGACCTGGATGCCTGTCCGTCAGATACCAAGTGCCCCTCACATGAGACCTGTGAGAACTGGTACCCACAATGCAGCACAGTACCAAATGCACCTGACCTGGGCATGGGAGGGCGTACGTGGGCATGGGAGGGCGCACGTGGGCATGGGGGGGCGCACGTGGGCATGGGGGGGCGCACGTGGGCATGGGGGGGCGCACGTGGGCATGGGGGGGCGCACGTGGGCATGGGAGGGCGCACGTGGGTATGGGAGGGCGCACCTAGGCATGCAAGTGACGGAGGGGAGGATGTGAGCGCCACAGGGCACGAGAGTGTCGGTGTGGTCGGGCAGCACCTCCAGCACCGCGCCCTCCCTCACAAACACCGCCGCCTCCTCCAATGCCACCGCCACCCCCTCCACCTGCCCTCCGCTGTACCGCCGCCCTGAGAACAGATGGCGCCAGTGCGGAGTGGATGCTGGGAAGAACACCTGAGAGGGCCGTGGCATGAGGGTGTGGCGTGAGGGTGTGGCGTGAGGGTGTGGCGTGAGGGTGTGGCGTGAGGTGCGGTGAGGAGTGGTGGTATGCACACAGGGAACGGGGGGAGGGAGAGGCCAAGAGCATACAGGGATGCGTCAAGATGGAGAAGCAGCACAGGCACTTGCATGCACTGAGTGCACTTGCATGCACTGAGTGCACTTGCATGCACTGAGTGCACTTGCATGCACTGAGTGCACTTGCATGCACTGAGTGCACTTGCATGCACTGAGTGCACTTGCATGCACTGAGTGCACTTGCATGCACTGGGTGCACTTGCATGCACTGAGTGCACTTGCATGCACTGAGTGCACTTGCATGCACTGAGTGCAGTTGCATGCACTGAGTGCACTTGCATGCACTGGGTGCACTTGCATGCACTGGGTGCACTTGCATGCACTGGGTGCACTTGCATGCACTGGGTGCACTTGCATGCACTGGGTGCACTTGCATGTACTGGGTGCACTTGCATGCACTGGGTGCACTCGCATGCACTGGGTGCACTTGCATGCACTGAGTGCACTTGCATGCACTGGGTGCACTTGCATGCACTGGGTGCACTTGCATGCACTGGGTGCACTTGCATGCACTGGGTGCACTTGCATGCACTGGGTGCACTTGCATGCACTGAGTGCACTTGCATGCACTGGGTGCACTTGCATGCACTGGGTGCACTCGCATGCACTGGGTGCACTTGCACGCACTGGGTGCATCTACTGGGGCGGAGAAGCAAGAGATGAGGGCAGAGAGGGGCGCACGTGCAAGTGGTCGCTCTCATTGACGACGGGTGCCACCAGCAGGGCGGGTCCCAGCAGGTACTGTCCCTCCCACCGCCCGCTCTCCGCGGCCTCATCCCCCTGCGCACACAGCGCCATGGGGCACATCACGGGCCGCCCCTCCGTGCTTGCGAGCCATGCAGCGCGCAGCAGGTAGGGCGCGAGGGCGGTGTGCAGGCGGGCGAAGCGGCGGTAGATGCGCAGCGTGAGTGCGTCGTAGTCCCACGGGCCGTTGTTGGCCTGCCCGAACTGATGCATCAACGGGGACAGTGCGCTGAGGGGGAGGGGGGAGGGGGGAGGGGGGAGAGGAGGGGGGGAGGAGGAGGAGAAGACAAAACTTTGACTTTTCAGCAAATGCATGAAGAGGGAAATGGCGCTGGTTGGTGGGGCGAAGAGGGAATGGCGCTGGTTGGTGGGGCGAAGAGGGAAATGGCGCTGGTTGGTGGGGCGAAGAGGGAAATGGCGCTGGTTGGTGGGGCGAAGAGGGAAATGGCGCTGGTTGGTGGGGCGAAGAGGGAAATGGCGCTGGTTGGTGGGGCGAAGAGGGAAATGGCGCTGGTTGGTGGGGCGAAGAGGGAAATGGAGCTGGTTGGTGGGGCGAAAAGGGGCACAAAAGGGTAAGTATGGGAAGGCCTTGTGGGGCAAACAGAGGAGGAGAGGAACATAAGAAAACAAAGAGGAAATGTCATGTTTAAAAAGGTGAGTATGATGTGGTGCATTCATGGATGGACGTGTCATGGAAGAAACTGATGATGAGAGGCAATGACAGCACGCGTGCATGCGGGTCCACGTGGTGGTCACACATCACTGCAGGCGGCTTGGGTGCGGCTTGGGGCGGGCAATGGGAGGAGGCTGACCCAAACTGCGTCCAGCGGATGAAGACGTTGCGCGGGATGGCCTTGCCCAGATAGCCGGCGATGTCGCTGCCCCACAGGTAGAGCGCTGAGAGCGCCGCTGTCTGCCCCGCCACCACCACCGATGGCAGCCCGTCCGCGCGGGAGAAGGACGCCCTGTTGTCGCCCGCCCACACGAATGAGCTGCCCCGGGGGGAAGGGAGGAGGGCGGAGGGCGCAGAGAGGAGCGAGGAAGGAGCAGGGACAAGCCAGTGTAGACTGGAACAGGCAGTGTGGAATAAAAGAAGAGGTGAGGTAGGGGCGCGGAGGAGAGGGGACAGGACAGTGTATACTGGGCACATGAAGAGGAGTTGGAAAGGGCACGATGGGTGGGAATCGCGTGGTGGTGATGGAATCATCTGGTAGTGTTGCAAGTAGCTGGCAATGTGGGAATCACCTGGCAGTGTGGGAATCACCTGGCAGTGTGGGAATCACCTGGCAGTGTGGGAATCACCTGGCAGTGTGGGAATCACCTGGCAGGGTGGGAATCTCCTGGCAGTGTGGGAATCACCGGGCAGTGTGGGAATCACCTGGCAGGGTGGGAATCACCTGGCAGGATGGGAATCACCGGGCAGTGTGGGAATCACCTGGCAGTGTGGGAATCACCTGGCAGGGTGGGAATCACCTGGCAGTGTGGGAATCACCTGGCAGTGTGGGAATCACCTGGCAGGGTGGGAATTACCTGGCAGTGTGGGAGTCACCTGGCAATGTGGAAATCACCTGGCAGGGTGGGGAGGGAATCACCTGGCAGTGCCAGTGAAGGCAGAGCGGGCGAGCACAACGCCCTGGGTGGGCCCCACGCTGTGGTTGATGAAGCGCTGCATGCTGCCCAGGTACAGCTGCACGTACTGCCATTGCGAGGCACGGTGGGGGAGGCAGTGACACACACGAGCAGGGAGCTGGGTACGGCTGCACGTACTGCCACGGCCACCACGGGGGGCGACGGTGTGGGATCAGGTCAAAGTCTAGGTAAGGCAAGGTAGCGAGTGAAGGCAAATGGAGATAGAAGGGCGCACGTGGGAGGCTGGACAAAGAGGGGCAGTTTGGAAGAGCAGAGGGCGGTGTGGCAGATGGATTGGCATCATGGAGGGCGAGGATGGCAGTATGGAGGGGAGATGGAACGATGCATGTGCTTTACTGGACATGCTGTGACGTTGACAGATACCAACCATGTGCGCACTCAACCATGTGCGCACTCAACCATGTGCGCACTCAACCATGTGCGCACTCAACCAACTTTGTTTGGGACACATGAGTGGCAGTGAGTGTGAGTGGCAGTAAGTGTGAGTGGCAGTAAGTGTGAGTGGCAGTAAGTGTGAGTAGGCATGATCATCCTGCCCCGGCGGGTCGACCCGACCCGACCCGGGTTTTGACCCGGGTCGGGTCAGGCATTTTGAAGCGCTGACCCGGCCGGGTCGGGTCGGGTTTACCCGGTCGGGTCGGGTCGACCCGACACCCGAAACCGGGTCGGGTCGGGTCGGGTCAGATTTAGACCCGAAGTCGTACCCGACCCGGTTTCGGGTACCGTGCCCTAAGTCGGGTCGAGTATTTGGCCCAACCCGACTTTTCCTCCCTCGACAAGTTGCACTAAAGCAGATCGCGAAGTCAATGTCTAGGGTTTGTTTGTTCCCTCGACATTGACATTCCCTCTACAAGTTGCACTAAAGCAGATCGCGAAGTCAATGTCTAGGGTTTGTTTGTTCCCTCGACATTGACATTCCCTCTACAAGTTGCACTAAAGCAGATCGCGAAGTCAATGTCTAGGGTTTGTTTGTTCCCTCAACATTGACATTCCCTCTACAAGTTGCACTAAAGCAGATCGCGAAGTCAATGTCTAGGGTTTGTTTGTTCCCTCGACATTGACATTCCCTCTACAAGTTGCACTAAAGCAGATCGCGAAGTCAATGTCTAGGGTTTGTTTGTTCCCTCGACATTGACATTCCCTCTACAAGTTGCACTAAAGCAGATCGCGAAGTCAATGTCTAGGGTTTGTTTGTTCCCTCGACATTGACATTCCCTCTACAAGTTGCACTAAAGCAGATCGCGAAGTCAATGTCTAGGGTTTGTTTGTTCCCTCGACATTGACATTCCCTCTACAAGTTGCACTAAAGCAGATCGCGAAGTCAATGTCTAAACCCTAGACCGGAGCTGCTGTAGTAATCCATTACCTAACTGCTGCTGTAGTAGGTCATCGTCAAAGTGAAGAGGAAGAAATCGAACGCAAAGATTATTGAAGGGAAAGGCGGCCTGACATTGAGTGAGTCTGGTAGAAGTTGGCAACAAATTGGATGGGGTGAAGGTGGGTTGTGAGCGGTGGATAAGAGGGAATGATCCACCAACAATCTCGAAATTCAGATCTGAAGTTGCTTTAGCAACGCGTGAACTCAGATCTGAATTTCGAGACTCAAATTTGAGTTCGTCAGATCGCGAACTCATCTTTTTTTTTTCCGGTCAGCCCGAGCCAAATTTGGCGAATTTTAGAAAAATCCGCAGCGTACGAATTCTAGATGCGTATAAACTCAATACGCAACTTGAAACTAGCGTTTTTTCTAACTTAGGAACCTCTTACCCTGCATATGGGGTCCTGGCCCGACCCGACCCGACCCGGCCCCTACCCGACCCGACCCGGGGGCGGGTCACGCCTGACCCGGCACCCGATACCCGGGTCGGGCCAGGATTTTTTTAAGTTTCGACCCGACCCGGAACCCGGCTGGCCCGCCCAAGTCGGGTCGGGTCGGGTCGGGTCGGGCCTAATGATCATGCCTAAGTGTGAGTGGCAGTAAGTGTGAGTGGCAGTAAGTGTGAGTGGCAGTAAGTGTGAGCGGCAGTAAGTGTGAGTGGCTGTGAGTGGCAGTGAGTGGCAGCACGAGAGGAGAAGGCGGTGAGGGCAGAGGTAGGTTAGAGAGAGGCAGAGGAAGGGGAGTGGAAACGATGCAGAGGATGTGAGAGACATCACAACAGGTTGCACGGACATCACAACAGGTTGCACGGACATCACAACAGGTTGCACGGACATCAGAACAGGTTGCACGGACGTCACAACAGGTTGCACGGACATCACAACAGGTTGCACGGACATCACAACAGGTTGCACGGACATCACAACAGGTTGCACGGACATCACAACAGGTTGCACGGACATCACAACAGGTTGCAAGGACATCACAACAGGTTGCACGGACATCACAACAGGTTGCACGGACATCACAACAGGTTGCACGGACATCACAACAGGTTGCACGGACATCACAACAGGTTGCACGGACAACACAACGGTTGCACGGACGCAAGCGAAGCAGGCAGCAGGTGGGCTCACTTTGTTGCGCATGAGGGGGAGCGGCGTGCCGTCATGGAACACGGCACCCGCCTCAAAGTACCCGCCCTCGCCGTCGTCCGCCTTCACCCCGCCAAACACCTCCTCCCACTGCAGCATGCGCCCCATCTGCCCGCGCCACCACCGCTCCGCCTCCGCGCTGCTGAAGTCCACGCGCGCCCCGCGCCCCTTCCACCAGCGCACCACCTGCGGCTGCCCCGTGGCGTTGCGCACCAGCAAGGCGCGGCGCACCGCCTCGTGGAAGTTGGGCCCGGCGGCAGCCGTGATGCCCGGCATGTCCACGCGGTTCACCTCGTTCACGAACGGCGTCGCCCAAAACACCACCCGGAAGCTGTGCAGGGCGAGGGGCGAGGGGAGAGGGGAGAGGGGAGAGGGGAGCCATTTTGTTTGATTCAACCACTTTATCAGTCCACTTTTGGATCTTTCAAATGTATCGTTTTCTAACACAAACAGCAGCACGCACCCGAGGGCATGCAGCTTGGAGAAGAGCGTCTGGGGGTCGGTGAACTGGTGGCGGTTGATGGTGAAGTCGTTGTACGCCGTCTGCCACGGGCTGTCAATTAGAATCACCGACCCCGGTATGCCATGCTGCCGCAGCTTCTCCGCATCTTCCAAAACCTGAAGGTAAGGCGCGCATGCACGCCCCATGCAATTCACATGCGACCCCCCATGCAATGCAATGTGCGTCCATCCCCCATGCAATGCAATGTGTGATAGAATTCAAGAATGATTGAGTAATGAGCCAAGGAGGCTCTATAGTACAAGCATGCAAGGAAGAGAGGAGTGGAGGAGGAGCTAACCCTATTGGCCACTAAGTTGGCCAATGGGTGAGGTGCCTTGTCGAGTAGGAAACCCCACAATGTAGATAGGATGTGATTGGTTGGTGTTGGGACCAAGTGCCAACCAAGGACCAAATCCAATCTTGACCATCCACAAAGTGTGGTTCGAGTGTACACCCAACCCCCCAAGAACATAAGGGACTACACCTATTCTAGCATATGAATGTTGTATATAATGTACATTTACAACAATGTGCGTCCATCCCCCATGCAACGCAATGTGCGTCCATCCGCCATGCAATGCAATGTGCGTCCATCCCCCATGCAATGCAATGTGCGTCCATCCGCCATGCAATGCAATGTGCGTCCATCCCCCATGCAATGCAACGTGCGTCCATCCACCATGCAATGCAATGTGCGTCCATCCGCCATGCAATGCAATATGCGTCCATCCGCCATGCAATGCAATGTGCGTCCATCCGCCATGCAATGCAATGTGCGTCCATCCGCCATGCAATGCAAGAGACAGGAAAGACAAGAAGGCTGGCATGTGGCGCACTGTCACCCCCAGCAAGGAGGGCTTGAACAAGCACCTCACACGGCGAGCCCATCCACGGGTTGACTGACACCTGCTCAACAATGGGGGGCCTGTGAGCCACTGGGATGCCTGTGAGCTAAGAATTCGCCAACATACAGCACCCAAAACGCCTAGTGCGCACGACTAGTTATCTTGTCCCTCACGCTCCGCAATTCGGGTTGCGGGATTTAATCCCCCATGCAATGTACGTCCATCCCCCATGCAATGTACGTCCATCCCCCATGCGATGTGCGTCCATCCCCCATGCAATGTACGTCCATCCCCCATGCGATGTGCGTCCATCCCCCATGCAATGTGCGTCCATCGCCCACATCACAATTTTGATTGTGATTGCATTGCTTCCATGGTGGGCACAGTTTTTTTTAGACTGCCCTGGACATCATTTCACAAGGAAAATACCCCGTCACCCCAGCGCACCTCGTGGCTGCTGCGGTGCACGTCGCGGCCCTTCCAGGGCGCAAAGGCCCAGAGGGGCGGCGGGATGGGGCGCGAGGAGGAGAGGCGTGAGAAGAGCGCGAGCACGTCCAGCAGGCGCGGCCCCGCCATGAAGACCACGCGCAGCGCCGTGAAGAGCGGGTAGCGCAGCACCTGGGGGTGGGGGGACAGAGGAGGGGCGAATGGAGCGCAACGAGAGGAGAGAGGGCACGTGAAGGTGTGGAGGGCAAGTTAAGGGATAAGTGAGCAATAGGCGACGGTGGTGTGGCATGGCAATGGAATGGAGCGAATGGCATCGACAATAATCGGCGATGGAGGGAATGGAAGCGTAACTGCTAACAGCCCACACAGCCAGCAATAACATGCACTTTGCTGCTGCATAGACCATGCACCACCATGCATGCAGCATGCAGCATGCAGCACCATGCGCCACCATGCATGCACCAGGTGGTGGGGGTCGGAGGCGTGGTTGAGCAGGAAGGAGCCCTGGGCGTGCGAGTCCACCCACACACCCCACCCCGACGTGCTCATCACGAATGGCACCGCCTTGTACGTGCGCTCCGCCTGGAGGAGAGACGCGTGGGGGGATGAGGTGAGGTGAGGTGCGCGATGGCGGCAAGGCAAGCTGCGCGACGACGATAATGGACTTGATCGAGAGGCTGGAGAGGACAGGCCGCACGAGAGGGTGGAGAGGACGGGCCGCACGAGAGAGAGAAGTTCGCCCTGCCTCTTCAAGTCGGGGTCCCACCTGGTCCCACCTATTAGAACTCAAAATTGTACTTTACTAATGAGCCAAGAGGCCCTATAATACAAGCATGCAAGACAGGAAGAGTGGAAGAGATCTAACCCTATTGGCCACTAAGTTGGCCAATGGGTGAGATGCCTTGTTGAGCAAGCAACCTCACAATGTAGCTAGGTTGGGATTGGTTGGTCTAAGGGCCAAAAGGTTGGCAAGTGCGAACCACGGACCATCACCAAACCCAATGTTGACCATCACCAAACCCAATGTTGACAATCACCAAACCCAATGTTGACCATCACCAAACCCAATGTTGACCATCACCAAACCCAATGTTGACCATCACCAAACCCAATGTTGACCATCACCAAACCCAATGTTGACCATCACCAAACCCAATGTTGACCATCACCAAACCCAATGTTGACCATCACCAAACTCAATGTTGACCATCACCAAACCCAATGTTGACCATCACCAAACCCAATGTTGACCATCACCAAACCCAATGTTGACCATCACCAAACCCAATGTTGACCATCACCAAACCCAATGTTGACCATCACCAAACCCAATGTTGACCAACCACAAGGTGTGGTTGGAGTGTACAACCAACCCCCCAATAACTACACCTATTCTAGCCTATGAATGGTATATAAGATATACATTTACAACACCACCTGGTCCCACCTGGTTCCACCTGGTCCCAACCCCAAGTGGAGTCAAGGTCCCACCTGGTTGCCTGAGGGTGTGTCTCGGCTTGCCATGGGCAGCACACTTCCCTTCTGGTTCACCGCATTGAACCGCTCTCCACCACCGTACCACCCAACAGGGCTGTCCTGGATCTGCAAACGGCAAGAAGGGGCAGAATTGGCGGGAAGGCAAGTGAGAAGTGTGTGTGTGACAGCTGGGGGGAGGCAGTGGTGGGCGCAGAGCAAAGAGGAATGAAGTGAGATGCTGTCGTGCGACAACTACCAGAGGCGGAAGGCATGACATGAACTGAAGGGCCCTCTCTCACCTGCACCCCTCTCTCACCTGCACCCCTCTCTCACCTGCACCCCTCTCTCACCTGCACCCCTCTCTCACCTGCACCCCTCTCTCACCTGCACCCCTCTCTCACCTGCACCCCTCTCTCACCTGCACCCCTCTCTCACCTGCACCCCTCTCTCACCTGCACCCCTCTCTCACCTGCACCCGTCTCTCACCTGCACCCCTCTCTCACCTGCACCCCTCTCTCACCTGCACCCCTCTCTCACCTTCAGCTCCAGGTGCAGAGGCGCTTCAAAGGGGCGCTGTGCACGCCGTGCTGCTGCTGGCTGGCGCATGTTGGAGGCATGCACGGGCAGGGGTGGTGGAATGCACGGGCAGGGGTGGTGGAACGCACGGGCAGGGGTGGTGGAATGCACGGGCAGGGGTGGTGGAACGCACGGGCAGGGGTGGTGGAATGCACGGGCAGGGGTGGTGGAATGCACGGGCAGGGGTGGTGGAACGCACGGGCAGGGGTGGTGGAATGCACGGGCAGGGGTGGTGGAATGCACGGGCAGGGGTGGTGGGCGAACGGGAGGGCAGGGGGGAAGGGAGAGGGCTATGTTACCGTATACGCTCTGCAAATTTTTCATTTCACGTATATGCGTTCACGTATAAACGCAAAAACGTGAAACGGGGACAAATGCGCGATACGGAAAGCCGGGCAGGAAAAAAAAAAAGTTCGCGCTTTTTCCGTACGCACGTAAAGGCGGGCCGAGGATGCTGCGCTCGATGCTGTTGTGGGAGGTGCGAAGAAAGGCCGCATCACCGACTTCATTGGCGACGAGGCGCAATGCAACAAGGGCGAGGCGGACAACTCCGTCTGTATGCTCTTCGTCGGCTGTCGCATTCCCGAACACCACGCCGACAACCCGTTGTGGAGTAACATGGTCAGGGCCATCAACAACGCACCTCACGGTTATGCCGCGCCGCGCCGTACCTACGTGGGAGGAGCTGGGCTGAAACAATGCCGGCAGGGCCTCGAGAAGGGGCTTCAGCCCATCGCCGCGAGCTGGAAGAGTGATGTCGTCACTGTCTCCTCCGACTTGATGACCGATCGGTGCGAGAGGCCGCACGCGAATGTCATGCTGGTCAACGATTCGGGAGCGGTGTTTATCGAGGCTATCGATGGCAAAATGGAGTCAAAAACCGGACACCCCTCACAAAACAGAAACACAAAAACATTCCCCACACCACATTGTACCGCAACGCAACTAGAAAATCGAACCAACTGAAGTTGACAAAAATCAGTCACGCCAATCCAGGTCGTCACTCTCTGCTTTGCAAGCTACTTGACAGAAATTAGGGTTGGATTGACTATCCTGTACCTACGAAATTAGATCGCCGTTCCACTCCTATTACCCCTTAACTTTCGCCTTATCACTCCCCTCCCTCCCCCGTTATACTTTTCTATTGCTGCCCGATAGTTTTTTCGGCTGCCCGCCAGAGCGTCAAAACTGCGTCAAAAGAATCAGGATTGTGCGTCAAGCGTCCAGACGCTAGCGTTTTGACGCTAGCGTCAAAGACGCTTGACGCGTCAATTCCAACATAGCCGGCGGCTACATAGCGTCCCTCCTCCGGCCCATCATCGAGAAGGTGGGGCCCGAAAACGTGGTAGCCCTTTGCATGGACGGGGGCTCTCAAACTACCGGGCTGCCTGCAAGGAGCTGATGGCGGATTGGCCGCACATCGAGTACGTGCCATGCGCTACGCACGTGCTCGACCTCCTGATGGAGGACGTGGGCAAAATCACGTGGTGCAAGGACATTGTGGATCGGTGCGGGGACATTATCATCTACGTTCGGAACCACCATTTCACCCGCAATTACCTGCGGAGTAGGAAGGTGAAGGAGGAAAGGGGAAGCAGCTTGTGAAGCCGGCGGGGACCAGGTTCGGCACCAACTACATCGCCCTCTCAAGGCTCGTCCAGCTGCGGTCCACACTGTCGCAGATGGTGCTGAGCGAGGAATACGCCAACTTGTCGGCGGGGGCTAGGAAGCTGACGGCGGATACGTTCCGCGGCCACGTCATGGACGACGCATGGTGGAAGAACGCTACGTACCTGGTGGAGCTCTTGGCGATTCCAATCAAGGTGATGCGGGCCACGGACAGCAGCGCGAAAGGCATGATGGGAACCATCTACGACGTTATGCTGCAGCTGACCGAGGACGTGAACGACAAGCTGGAAGCGGGGGAGAAGATTCTGTCGCGGGCGGTTGCGGATGACATTGGGAAGACTGTTAGGCGCCGTTGGGATGAGAGCCTTGCTTGCGCTCTTCACGTTGTGGGGCGGATCCTGAACCCGGAAAATCAGGAAGAGGGTACATTCAGCAACGACATGGAATGTACCCGCATCTTCAAGGCGTTCATCGCACGTCACTACGACGGTAAGACGTTCACCAACAAGGACGGTGAGGAGAGGCGGGCCTCTCCTGTTTTGCAGGAGGGGCTCACGGCCTTCCTCACCCTTGAAGGATCCTTCGGCCTCCCTGAGGCAATTGCTAACAGGGAGGCCGTGAAGGCAAGCAAGCACTCGATGGTGCAGTGGTGGGGATGGCACGGGACTGACCACCCCCACCTGGCCAGCCTTGCATGCCGTGCCCTGACACAGCCGGTGTCGGCCTCGCCTTGTGAGCGCGGGTGGGCATCGTGGGAGTCGGTGCACACTGCCCGCCGCAACAAGCTAGGCTCGGAGAAGCTCCGAGACCTAGTTTATGTGACCCACAACTGGCATGTGGTCCACAAGTACCACAAGCCGGGTGAGTCACTGGCGGTGCTTCCGGGCAACACCCCTGAACCTGCTCTGCCGGAGGGATACAACAAGGAGAAGGAAGGGGAGGAGGAGGAGGAGGAGGAGGAGGAGGAGGAGGAGGAGGAGGAGGAGGAGGAGGAGGAGGGGGAGGAGGAGGATGATGTCGTGCTGGCCGATGAGTACGTGGAGTAAGAAAGGCAGCAGCAGCTCGGTAAGTGGTTGAGGAGGCGGCGAGATTGAGGAGTAAAGGAGGAGGAGAAGCATTTGAAGGTTTGGGGAGTAGGGGAGTTAGGGGATGTTTCCGTCAAGTAATTGCTAGTATGTGTGTACTTGCAATGCATGTTTGTAATGGGGAACAAAAGTTTCATACGTGGGGAAAAACCAGAATGTGCAAGGTCACAATGAACATAGGCAACGTGACTCACCCCCTGATACTTTTTTCCCCTGCCCGGGAACTTTTTTTCCCCTGCCTGGGCGACCGTATTTCGAGCGTATCGTGTGGCGGAAATCCCGCGTCTCACGTACGTACGTGAGCGTATTGTTCGTACACGACTGGTACGCCAGTCGCGTATTTTGCAACATAGGGAGAGGGGGGAGACGAAGTGTGACCATGTGGTACGCAGACAGGGGCGTGGAGTGCAGGCAGTGCAAGGGCAGCACGCAGGGTGTGACGTGGCGGGGGCACGTGCGAGTGGGCAGAGGGCAGGCAGTGCAAGGCAGCACGTACAAGTGCGGGCGTCACGGTCCACGTGACAGCGATGGCGCGCGCACTCAGCACCTCCGCGCTCACTCCCACCCGCACCTCCACCTCCTCGCCCTCCCCGCCCTCCTCGCCCCCTCCCCTCACCCCGTCGCTCTCCACCGTCCCCTCCGCAGTCCCACTGTCCCCTGCGCCCACCAGGCACGCACGGTGTGTAGCACACACACGGGGGCAGAGGGAGGAGGGATGACGCTTCAATGGGGTGAGGGAACGCAGGAGAGGGGTGACGGATAGTGTGTGGGCGAGAGGGGAATGACAAGGATGGAGAGGGAATGAATGGTGGGGTGGAAGGGAGAGGAGGCGAGGAGAGGGGAGGCAGAGGCAATAAATTCATGCACCACCAACCCACACCTCTCTCTACCCCCGGTTCCCCCTCACCTCTGCCCACTCGCACGTGCCCCCGCCACGTCACACCCTGCGTGCTGCCCTTCCCCACTCCCCTCCCACCACCACTACCACCACCACCACCACCACCACTACCAGCAGCAGCAGCACCAGCAGCAGCAGCGCCCTCCGCCTGGAAGGCTGACAGCGGGCGGCCCTGCAGCACGGGCGGCAGCAGCGGCAGCAGCAGGGGCGGCACGGCGGTGAGGCGGGTGGGCGGGTGGGCGGGCATGGCAACGCGGGAGGGGGAGAAGGCGAGCAGCAGGCGCGCGGAGGGGGCGTGCAGGCGCACTGCCATGCGCCTTGTGCCCGCCAGCTCCACTGGGTGGCTCACACTACTCTCCTTCTCCCCCCCCTGCTGCCCCTCCCATGCGCCGCCGCTGCCGCTGCTGCTGCTGCTGCCGCTCTCGGCTGCCCCATCCTCCTCACCACTTTCTTCATCCTCCTCCTCTCCCCGTCCCTGCTGCCCCGCCTCCCCTCCCTGCTCTTCCCCTTCCGTCTCCGCCCCTTCTTCCCCTCTCCCTTCCACCTTGAACAACTTCCCGCTCCCCCCTCCACCCTGTCCCTCCCCCCGCCCCGCCTGCTGTTCCCGCCCGCCCCCCGCCCCTCTCTCATCCGCGCCCCCCCTCCCCGCGCCCAGCTCCGCGTCCTCCGCCACCTCCAGCGCCGACGACGCAGCGCCCTCGCGCTCGCCCTCCCCCTCCGCGCCCCCCTCCCCAGCGCCGTCCCCCTCCACGGCGCGCGTCTCGTCCAGCGCGCGCTGCACCACCTTCGCCTCGCGCCCGCCGCCCTTGAGGTCCACCAGCGCGCGCTCCTCCATCTCCCCCTCCTCCTCCCACTTCCGCTCCCCCTCCTCCTCCGCCTCCCCCCCGAACTCCCCCAGAAGGTTCCCCCCGCCCTGCGCCTTCGCCTCCACCAGGTCCTTCAGCTTCACGCCCGCCGCCTGCGCCATGCCCGCCTTCGCCACGATGCGCCGCACGATATCCCCCCCCGCCAGCGCCGTCCCTCCGCCGCGCGCGCCCTCCGCGTCCGCCAGAGCGCCGTCCCCCGGCAGCAGGTCGCGGTCGCCGGGGCCCTCCAGGGAGATCACGCTGCGGCTCTTCCGCCGAGCCACATCTTTAGGCTTGGGCCGCTCCACCACGAGCCCCCGAACCTGCAGCCTCCCCGCGCTCACCGCCGCCAGGTCCGCGTCGTGCGGGGGCTGGCGGCGGGGGGCGTGCGACCAATGGTAGCAGAGCCAGAGCGTGACTATAGCGAAGGCGCACGCCTGGATGACGTGCGCCGCGCGGATTCCGTAACCCGCCTTGTGCGCGCCGCCGTGCCAGCGGGCTCGTAGCGTGGCGCGCGCGGAGTGGTGGTGCGATGAGGACATTGGGAAGCGCGCTTCTACCGGCGCGAAACCCACGGGTGGATTAACGCAAGGGCGAGGCGGGCGGGGCGACTGCGGGAAGCGGGAGGGGGCGAAAACGAAGCATATGTGATAGAATACAGTGCTCGCCCCACCATCTCACCACGCATGGTTGGTTTGAAGGGGGTGCGGGATTGTGCGTTCGGGAAAGCCGTACATGATGCAGCAAATGAATACATTACACACGTACACGTACAGCATATATTCCCTTCACAACATAAATAATATTAGATAGAGGTAAACGGCCACCAGAACGTACTGATGGTACAAAGAAAATGAATACAAGAACTTAATATCAACGTTTGAATTTCTGTTGAGTAAATATAAGATATTTAAATAGCAACCCATGCCCATGAGGGCATAGAGGGGGGAACATATGTGAAAGAACGAGGAATGAAATGACTCGGTGAAATGTGGGTACAAGTAGAAAACCAAGAAATGTTGTACCCTATAGCATCTACCCCACTACAGCCTAGACAGACCATAGCATATAAATTTGACACACCCCTATAGGCAAAGTGGGGGAGAACAAGAGGTCACAAGACCAGTCAAGCAAATCACAGCAAGCTCAGGGTGGATCATAAAGTCACCACACATTCCGAGCACAAGTTCAAGGCCACAAGGCCAGTTCACATGCAAGATTATATATAAATGTAAACAAGCAAGTGCATGTCTAGATAGATCACAGTACAAACAAGGTCAAGAAGTGAGCAAGTGAGGCAAAGTAGGCACAAGACCTCGCATCGTACAAAAGCACCGATGATCACAAGGCTGAAGTGCCTTGCTAAAGATATCAGCAGTGTTGGCCTTAGAGGCTACGTAAGCAAGGCGCAGTTGACCACGCTGCTGCAGCTCACGGGCAAGGAAGTAGCGAAGAGCAATGTGCTTCGTTCTGTGCTCCAGGCTGTGCTCCCGACACAAAGCCAGCATGGCCTTGTTGTCTACGTACAGAACTGGAGGAGAACGAGGCGCCTCTCTTAGGTTAGTCAGCAGGTAGGTGAGCCAGCGTAGCTCCTGTGCAGCCATGGCCCCTGCGTAGATCTCAGCCTCACAACTGGAGCCGAGAACAGAGGACGAGCGCGTAGACCGCCACGAAACAGAGCCGGAACCAAGGCTGAAGGTGTAACCCTGTGGCGACCGCTCCGTAGCCTAGTCGTCAGCCCAAGAAGCCTCTGCGTGACCAGTGAGGACCACTGGACTCCGCCCTCCAAGCACGAGCCCCATGCTCGACGTACTGCACAAGTAGCGCAACACCCTCTTCGCTGCAGCCATGTGCTCTGGTCGGTGTCTCCCAGGAGCAACATAGCGTGCCAAGATGCTAAGAGGGTATGCAAGGTCAGGTCAAGTGCAGGTCATCAGGTACATGAGGCAGCCAACTAGCTCTGGGTACGGACCACTCGGCTCTACGGACTCATCCGAAGGCAGAGCTGAGAGCGAGTGGCGAGTAGACAGAGGAGTGGCCTGAAGCGAGGAGTACGTGAAGTCGAAGCGCTGAAGGACCTGCTGCACCATGTGTAACTAACTCAGGGTAATGTTGCGCTGTGCTCTGTCCCGGGTGATCTGCAAGCCAAGGTAGCTGCGTAGTTCACCCAGGTCTATGCACGTGTCTCTCTTTTGCAGCTCAGACTTCACGTGGGCGAGTCCAGCAGTGTTAGTAGTAGCAAAGACCAAGTTGTCGACGTACACGAGGATGTAGAACGGCGGCAAAGAGGTGTCGGTGCGTAGAAACAGCGACAGGTCGGCAGTAGAAGGAGCAAACCCAAGAGCCGCAAGTGTAGTCCTCAGTGTGTCGTGCCACTCACGGGGCGCCTGGTGGAGACCGTAGACTGGCCGCCGGAGGCTCCACTGGGTACCAGGAGGAAACGACCCAGTGAAGCTAGGAGGGCGGCGCAGCCAGATCTCCTCGTGCAGGCTGCCCTGTAGGAAAGTAGTGCTGAAGTCAAGAGAGTAAAGCTCGTAGTCACGCTGAGCGGCTATGTGCAGCAGCACCCGAAGAGTGGTCATCTTCGGGGTAGGAGAGAGGGTCTGAAAGTAATTAACTCCCTGCCGCTGACTGAAGCCTCGAGCCACGTAACGCGCTTTGAAGACAGGCGGAGAACCCGGCGGCCGCTTCACCCTGAAAATCCACATGCCACTGACGATGTTCGCCCCAGGTGGGGGAGCCTCGTCGACGTAGGTGCCTGTGGACTTCCAGGAAGCCATCTCTGCGTCCATGGCTTACTGCCATTGAGAGGAGTAGGGACCCTCTATCGCCTCTGCGTAAGAGCGCGGACTCGGGATGTCTGGTGCATCCGGGTCTCCCTCAGGGGCAATCAGTATGGACACGAGATGAGGTAAAGCAGCAGCAAGACACCAGAACTCCTCCTGCCTGTCCTCAAGGACGTCCGTGCTAAGAGCACACTCACCCCCGACGGACGGAGGACAGACAGACTCAGACTCAGCAACAAGACTACCAGCGTAGTCTGGACGACAGCGAGCAGCAAAGTCGACAAGCTCAGCATCTAAGGCAGACGCAGCAGTGGACTCAAAGGAAGGGTCATTGACAGCAATAGCCAGGAGACGCGTGACAGTAGGACTAGCAGTACGAAGGGAGTCAGACTCTGGGTCAGCAAGACTAGGAAGAGAGGACTCTCGGGGAGACGGCAACGGGACACGAAGCGGAGCAGTGGAAGGACGCAGTGCCATCTGGTGTGTGCCTGGAAACGTAGGAGGACGCGGACGCGGAAGACGACGACTAGTGCGAGCAGCACGAACAGGCAACGCAAGACGAGACGCAGGCTCACGACGCTCAGCAAGACCTCCAGTAGGACCAGTGTGGGGAGAAGGAGCAGCCAGTGGGGAGGCGGGCTGTAACTACGACTCAGACTGGACAGGCGGGAGACGAAGAACCTGCTCAAGGAGTGGAACGAAGTACGGCCGCGGCCGCGAAGCGCCTCCAGAGCCAGCAGGGACAGCACCAGCACCCCCAACAGCAGCACCAGCACCAGTAGCACCCCCAGCTGCAGCACCGCCAACTCCAGCACCCGAAAAAGCACGAGCGCCAGCAGCACCTCCAGCAACTCCAGCAGAAGGAGCACCCCCAGACGCAGCAGCTCTAGTACCTCTAGTACGAGCACCTCCGGGACCCGTGGCACCAGCACCCTCAGCACCAGTAGAACCTCCACCTCCATCAGCACCACCCACTTCAGCAGCACGGCTCCAGCGCCGAGCAAACCACTCGCGCAGCTCCTGTGGAGAGGGTAGCTCCCGCCGGGACAAAGCACCTGGAGGACCTCCAAACCCAGTACCGCCAGACTCCACACGAGCATGTCCAGCACCCTCAGGCTCCGCACCCCCAGACTCAGCACCCCCAGGCTTAGCACCCCTAGGCTCAGCACCCCCAGGCTCAGCACCCCCAGGCTCAGCACCCCCAGACGCAGCACCACCAGACCCCGCACCCGCAAGCTCAGCACCCCTAGTAGCACCAGAGTCAACAGCTACCTCGACAGGCTCGACCGCGTCTACCTGGGACACATATGAGGGGGCAGGACCCTGGGGGGGAAGGGGGTCTACCGGGGGGGGGACCTGGCGGGAGGAAGAGCGGGGGCGGGGGGAGGGGCGCAGTGCGGTACGGGAAGAGACGGTAGTAAGGAACTGACTCGTCAAACGTGACGTCCTGGGAGGACAGAACACGTCGTGAGGTGGGGTGGTAAAACTGCCAACCAGGCGCGTCAGGGGGGAAGCCAAGGAAGACGCAGCGAACAGTGCGGGCGGACAGCTTGTCCGCAGACAAGTCGCGGACAAACGCCCGAGATCCATAGACACGAAACGCAGACGCATCGCCAACCTTCATCGTCCACCGTAGAGTAGGGGAGGTCTCCGGCAAGGAGACCCGGGGCTGAAGGTTGATCTGATGCGCCGCGTACTGAACCGCGAACGGCCACAGAAAATAAGGAGCAGCCGCATGGATCATGGACGTACGAGCGACGTCCATGACCATGCCAATGCGTCGCTCAACAATCCCATTATGCTGTGGAGAGGCCGGAAGCGTGAACGTCTAGTGGATGCCCTGTGCACGACAGAAGGCTCGTAGAAGGTCAGAGGAAAACACTCTGCCTCTATCGGAGTGCAGACGCAGAACAGAAAAGTCCGAGCCGTAACTCTCTCTGAGCTCGAGACGAGCTGCGCGGATCCAGTCGATCAACACCTCAGTGACTTCACCCTTGCTGCGCAAGGGGAAGACTCTGATGTAACGCGAGTAGTTGTCAACCACCAACAGGAAGTAACGCTCGTGACCTTGGCCACGGACGCGGGCGGGGCCCCACACGTCCAGGTGAAGTGTTTGCAGCGGAGCCTCTGTTGGAGGAAACTCGGAGGAGTGAGGAGCGGCGCGCTGCAGCCCCTCGACGAAGGGAACGCAGGTAGGGGCAGGCCCCGGAGGGAGGGGAGGGAGGGACCGGGGGAGACCAGAGACAAGGTAACGGGAGGCCATGCCTCGTAGACGAGGCAGGGAGGGGTGACCAAGGCAGTGGTGCCAGAGGAGGGTCCGGTGGGACAGGAGACGACACGAGCAGGGGGCAGACTCAGGACCAGACCTGGACGCAGCACCAAACACCTGACCCGACGCAGCTACCGGACCAGACTCAGTAACCGAAGGAGACTCAGTAGTCAGTGTGTACAGGCTCGACCCCGGCTGACGGGTAAACGTGGCCAAGTGTCGGCCCGTCCGAGCACACGTGCAGTGGGTCACCCGCTGACTCGCAGGAGTGAACTGGTCAACCCCCCCATCCTGTAGATCAGCACCACTCACCAAGTTCGTAGAGAACGAGGGGAGGTAAAGACCTGACAGGGTGCCAAAAGGGGTCGCCGGACACGGTAAGACAGTGGAGAAGTGCGCAAGGACAAGACCCCCAGAGGGGTGCGCCAGGGAGACCGCAACTGGCCGACTAAGCGGCGTAAGTGTGGTGCGGTCTCGAAAGAAGGAG